ATGCCCAAACCCCCAACCCCACCCCACCCGATAAAAGCTCAGCTGCCGCGAGGTCACCAAAGTGCCTCAAATGAGCTCCTGACGAGCCTTGTCATTCTCTTGAGCTCCATTTGAATGGACGCTCGCTCGCTTGCGTCTTTTGTCATTGACGAACCATTAAAGTCCAAGGACGCACCCTTGCCATGCTTGGCGGGCACGCGCGCTCGCGCGCCTTCTTCCCTCCTCAACGAACAAGCATGCAGGTGACTGTTGATGCTCTCACTGCGCTACTTGACTTTTGCCTCTTGCTCCTATTTTCAAGTCCGCCTTCGAAAACCACACAATTTGTGTGGGTCTTTACGTTCCTGTCAGGTTATATTCATCAAGGCGGCGTGTGTGTGTGTGTGTGTGTGTGTGTGTGTGTGTGTGTGTGTGTGTGTGTGTGTGTGTGTGTGTGTGTGTGTCCCCCACTGGGAAAAGGCGTCCCTGTGCGCACGAGTGACGTGTGAGTGACGGGCGGACTCCTCCCGTCCAGGACGCCCCGCGTGGCCGATCAAGCGCCCCTTCCCTGGCTAACCTGCAATTAGCAGCAATTAGCGCACGGCGCTACCATGACGACAATCAGCAAGTGGAAGAGGAAGACTTCCTGTTTGCCGTCATCACTTCCGGTGTGAGCAACAAGTCACTTATCCTGCGGCAGCCTGCTGCTCCAAAGCATACCACATCATGCGCATAGGTACATGAAGAGCAAATGTGTTATTGCCGATTAGCTGGTCGCACGCACGCAGGGCTGGTGGACGGCCGGCCCGGTGGGCGGTTGCAGCTAATGCAGCAAGTAGGGTGTGTGTGTGTCAATCACGGTGGGGCGGCGAAGTACTGCTGAGCTCAATTGCCCTCGCTCGCCTGCCTGTCTGTCAAACGTGTCTTGTTTGTATTTTTTAAGTAGCAGACATGAGCTTAGTGCGCTCATGAGCCGCCGCAGACCTGTACGTACGTTACGAATTCTCCGTATTTTGTGAGGGAAATCACTGAATGCTAACTCGTTAAGGCCGTCGTACTGATTGTTACGGACTTTTTCAAAAATCACAGGTTATATAATTGCACAAAAGGGTTGAAAAGGAGAAAAAGAATTAGTTCATCCATAAATGCCATTTGTGTTTGACGACAAGCCAATGGCAGACGCGGCGTCGTTCCGCTGGTCGCCTCCAGTGACGTGGAGCTCTTTGCCGCGGAAGCTAGCAGACGACGTTAGCCGAAAGCTAACAATTTGAGGCTAACCTGTTTCGCTGCGACCCTTAGTGAATTCATATCAGCGGCGAGCAACGAGGGCAGCGACACGATGTAGAGCTTCGTCGCCAGATTATTGTTCACTACTGCTCAGAAAACTAGTGTGTGTGTGTTTGTGTGCGCGTGCGCGCGCGCTACACTAGGGGGTTCAAAAGTAGGTACAGTATACTGTAGTATCTTTTTTTTAATCCTTTTTGGGATGGTTGAATTTTTAAAAAATGTTTTCTTTTTTTCGACAATCATAAAAAAAAAAGACAAAATATACTGCAGTATTCCTAATTTTGCACCCAGTAATACACTGTACTTGTACTGTATATTGATATATGTATACTGTGTATGTATGTATACATGCATATGAAGATGTTCACGATGTTTTTGTGAAAAGAAAACATTTATTTTGAATTCGTATGAGACGCTCGGTCGTTTACGATGTCCTCGTCAGAGTTTATGTGTTTGAAGTCATTAAAAAATAGAATCTAGTTTGCATTCAAATCAAATCTTTTCACCCGCCCCATTATCATTCATTTAGAGACTTGAGTTCTTTGTTTTTGATTTCTTTGGCCGGCCGTGAAGAACTTTTTTTCAATCCGAGCCTGCAAATTGACTTCATTAAACGGCGTGCTAATGAATTGACGCAGTCGTAATGGACATGAACACAATAAATACTCATTAGTCAAACATGCCCCCCCCAACACACACACACACTCTCCAACCCCCATACCTCCGAGGACACAGCTGCTTACAAACAGATGGACACTTTTAACGTGTGTCACCCTACACACACACACACACACACACACACACACGAGTGCGCACACGCACTCACAAAGAGCAGCTGGTGGTGGTTTTTACCTGACACAAACAAAATGTCTTTTACTGGCATGTACATTTCTTTCCTTGTGAAAGCCTCACAGACCCAGCGTGCGTGCGCCCGCGCGGGCGGTGAGAGGTCAAGTATTTCTTGTCCTCATGAGACGATGAAAGGGTCAAAATGTTGAAAGGCAGGGCGGGGTGGGGGGGGGTTATAACATTTTCCTTTGACACAATCAGTTGTCCCATCAAGTGAGCGTCGATTGACCTGCTTCCCTTTCAGCCACCAGCCAAGCTAGGTGTGCACGCGTGAGCGCACACATACACACACACACACACATGAAACAAACCCACGCTCGCAAACTCCTGTTCACAAACGAGACGCAAAGTATGACTCACACAACACCAGACATACATATATACGAGAACACACACTTACACACACCCGTACATTCACCTTTACATGTAGATGGGCATACACACCCATTAAAACAAGCACACAATTACACATGCACGCAAAAGGCCTGTTGTTGCTTTTTTTTCCTCTCTCCTTTTTTCTTGAGAAGCATATGTGTGTGTGTGTGTGTGTGTGTGTGTGTGTATAAGATATATATATATATAAAACACTCATGAAACATTCTCACATCCACCATTGAAACACTCAGAGGCTCTGATGGTCATGCTATCATCCTCGCTCGTGAAATGCTCTCACACACACACACACACACACGCCAGATTTTTCCTCACTTAAAGGCACAACTGAAACGCTCTCATACGTACACTCGGGTGAAACTCTCTTGTTAGTACTGTACTACTAAAAGGGTTTGACACACTATATTGAAATGCTCTCTCGGTAACTCTCACACATGCAATCACACACGGTATTGAAACGTTCTTACTTGCACTATTGAAACGCTCGCATCTTATTCAGTCACTCTTACGCGCCATTGGAGCATTCATGTGTTCGAATAAATCCTCACTCATACGACTGAAATGCTCTCATACACTCTCTTGAAACACACACACACACACACACTCTACTGTTTGTTTTTTCCCCACTACATACATACCTAGAATGCTCACACTCTGGATCGGTCTCACATGCGCTCTTGAAACTCTCTTATACACACACTCTATTGATAGGCTCTCTCGCATACACCCTGATGAAAGCCTTCCAGGAAACGCTCTCATGCATACTATTGAAAGGGTCACATTCATTGACGCTGTGGCGCTCTCCATCCAAACGTTCTCATACAGCTTAACCCTGAAACGCCGGCTCTCACGTGGACAATCCTGAAACGCTTTCATACACGAGAGTGCAACGCGGATCTTTTTCACTTCATTATGTGTGGCACTTTTCTCTTGGACATGGGAAAAGATTCCAGTTGTGTGTGTGTGTGTGTGTGTGTAGAAAAGGGGCTCTTAGATGATGTGACTGGGGTGGGGGGTGGGGGGTGACTCGTGGAGTGTGAGATGGAGGGGAGGGGGGGCATCAAACAGCGAGAGTTAAATGATCCATAAAGTGGAAGATTTGTCTACCTGGCATGTGTGAGTGGGCTAATGATGAGGATAATTTCCATCTTGAGTCCCACTGGGCTGAGAGATTTCAAGCGGACGGGAGGGGAGGGGAGTTGGGGGCTGGCTCGGGGGTGTTAGGTGTGGGTGTTCTAACCCCGAGCATTTCAATTTATTGCCATCAAGGATCATTTCATGAATCGTAAATTACATTTGCTGTAAATGTAACGTCAACAACAAAAATGAAGTGACCCTCCCTCAATAATTCTTTAATTAATTAGCATGACCTTTTATTGTATAAAGCACAACATTGTAATTTGACACAAATGAAATAAAATAAATCCTTGCCAATATTTCCTCAACAGCTTAGGGGCCAAAATATTCAACTCACAGGAGGAAGAAGATCATGAAGGCCAAATTCAAGGTCAACGAAGAGGCTGCTGCTTCGTCTTCTTACTGACTTGTTTGTGTGTGTGTGTGTGTGTGCGTGCGTGCGTGTCTAAAGTGGTGCGCCGAGTGGAAGACGATCGCTGGCCTGGCCCGTGAAGAGCTCATTGGAAGTCAACAGGAAACACTTAAGTGGCTTTCAGTGTGTGCGTGCGCGTCCGCTTATAAATTATGCGGATTGCATCATACATCGGATTTGGTCAATAATAAATCACCATTGGAGTGTGAGCGTGTGCTGACTTGTGGCCCCCGCGATTGGCTCAGTACACCGTGACGTCAAACACGGCGCCCTCCTCCGAGGGCATCGTCAAACACGCACACACGTACACACAGCAGTCCATGAGCAGAATTGAAAGTCGGCGACAGGCCAAGTGGGAAGCATCCGGCAATCGCAACTGGAGCCTCCTGCCCAATCCGCCCATTTTCTGTCCTGACGAGGTGATTTGGGGGAAGAGGCCAAGTCCATCCTGGACCGGTCACCGGCCGATCGCGAGGCACATGTCAACAAACCACTGCACAGGAGCACTTGACTGCAAGCCGCTTCCTTCCAAGACCTTTTGCATTTTCGTATCATCTCGTGAGCTCGCTCCATTTTGGAGACTCGGCCTGTTGTTTGGCCAAGCGGCTGAGGAGTGATGCTCATTCGATGGATTGGGAGTTAGCGAGGCTGCTCAGCGGGCCGTGTTCAACTAGTTGGCCTGTTTGGGTGGGGTCGAGGGCTCGTACAGGTTCACACGTACATGAGACAGAATTTGTATAGGAGAGAAAAGAGAAGTCGCTGAAGGCAATTGTGTCGAGACGAAGCAGTCAACTTCAATTGTTCCAGAAGGGTGTGGCTTCAATTTCAAATGGTCAAATCCACACATATCCAGGTGACACCTCATTTTGCCATATGTAGCAGTGCGACATCTCAGACTACGCAGGCAGTGGTGTTAATGCAACAGACGTACTCGGTTTTTAACGCCATCCCCAAACTTTCAAAACTGGCCCAAGAAGGTTCAAGTTGTTGCTCGTCTTGGTTGTCCAATTACCAACAGAAAGTCACACGTATAATTTCTTTGACAGTCACCAAGCAGTCATGAAAGAAAAAAAATGTTCCCCTTTATATTTTATGAATGTTGTATTCATGTTGTATGAATGGCAATGTTAAAGACAATGCCGTTCGACTTCTTTTGTAAGCATATGTAAATTGTTGATGGATGAGAGCGCCATATTAAAATCTCGTCAAGCCCAGCGCACCATCGGCTAGCGCCGGCCCTGCACATACCTGGACAGTACAGGTAGAGACACACACACACACACACACAGACAGAATGTGTGTGTGTGTCTGTGTGTGCTCATGTGTCAAGTCCCCTAGTATGCAAACACAATAGTCTAAATGAAATGGAAATATTTGAAATGAGGCGCATTGAGAGTGTTTGCGGATGATGGTAAAAAGGTGTCGTTTCATAACTTGCTTTTGGTTTGTTTTGCGAACTTTTGCCTGCCACCTGTGGCGCCCGCTGGACCACGTGACTTGACGCGGAAGCGGAAGCGACAGCCAGCTGAGCCGCGACACAGATCGTCTCTTCCGAGTATGCGGGGTACGCTCGACAAGTTCGAACGAGCACGACGCCTCGGCAAAAGGATCACTCGACCACATTCTAGTTCTTCTTTGCCACATGGGCGTTAATGGCACCGCCTCGCCACCTACGCTCCCACTTGCGTCTCGTCCTTACATTCTGAGGCCGGCCCGGCCGCCCGCCAACCGCAAACCGAGTGAGCACTCTGCGCCCGAGGAGAGCATCTGCGCTTCGCCGAAAGCTGAGCTAGCGGCTCGGCGGCTAGCAGGCTAGCGGCGCTGTAATGGCGGAGCTGGTGCAGGCAGGAGGACAGGCCTCGATCGGCCAGCCGGCGCTTAAGTCGGACGGCCTGGCCGACGCGCTGCAGCGGGCCCGCCAGGTAACCTCCACCGAGCGGCCACCCGACAGCGAGTCCCGCGACCTCCGCAGCGCCCAACGTGCCTCTTCGGTCGAGTCCGCACACTTTTTATTCTGTCTGCTTTCGGACCGCCGACCACTCGCAACTTCGACTATACGCTCACGCGCAAACGCGCGCACGCACGCCAACTAACAGGCTAAGCTAGCTGGGCCACTTTGGGCGACTTTTACGCGACTGACACGAGCCTCCCCAGCCGGGAGAGACTTTCTTTGGGGGGGACTTTGACGTGCTGTCACGCTAAACTTTAGGGTGGGGGGGTCGATCACGGTGACGAGTTGGGGGGTGGGGGTTGTTGTCCACACGTGTCACTCGGCCTGACAACTTGTTGAACTTACCAACAAACCAACTTAACAAACAACTACGTGATACGCACACTAACTAACACACACTTTTTAGCGTGGACGAACGCAGTAAACTGAGGGGCTTCAACTGTAAGCGCACGCTTACATATGCACGCGCACGCACTCACGGATCGTGTGTGTGCTTCTGCTTAAGTGTTTTGTGGACTCTAATTGACGAGATTTACTTGAGTGACACGATCACTTCCTGTGTTGAACTCCCAAACAACAAAGCAGTTAATAACGCACAAGTAGACACCTTTTGCAACACCAACTCAGTGGACCCCCACGTAAACATCTCTCATGATCTGTTTACTTACTCTGGCATGCTAACTTCCTGTTAGCCAACTGTGCTAAATTCTTCCGTGGAGCTAACAAACAACACATTCAATACACTAACACTTTGTAGGTACATTACAACAAAATATTTTTTTTCAGCAACGTCAGTGAACGGAGTTGGAATATAGCAACAAAACAGTGCCAGAATGCTGTCAATAGGTTAAGGATTAAGGAAGTTATGACATTTTAAAGGCTTCCAAAAAAAAAGGGCAAAAAAATGTTATGTAAATGTTAGTCTTATTTTCTCTTCAAAACAATTGATTGCTTTTGAAAAGAATGAAGCTGAATTCTTGAGGCCTCAGTTTCCTGAAGTGTGGATCGAATTTTAAAGACGATACACCACAAGAAAGGAGAGTCATCATCATCATATTAATGGCATGAATCCATTTTTAATTAATTGATGTAATTAAGTTGACCAACAGCATCGTTGGCAAACGAATGGCTGGTTTATCCCGGTGGATGGCTCCCCTGTGTCTCCCCCATTCAAGGGTATGGGATACAAATTTTGGCAACGCACCTTCCGCTTTGGTTGTAACTTGTCTGTGTGTCTCCTCAAACCGTCAAAATTATTTGTGAGAGTTTGATATCAAAACACTTTTTGGGCGGGCAAAGATTAGCGATCATGCCGTGATGCCATAAACAACAAAATACTGTGTGAAAACCATCACATTGAAAAAGAGAAGACAGAGGCGATTCCATTGTCCATCATGTCTAAAAATAGATGCCAAAAACAGATCTTTAACAAGCCGGAGCAAATTTTTCTGAGGAGTGCAAAACAGAGCATTGCCACGTGATCACCCAAAATGGCCTCGTGAAAAAATGGTGGAAACAACACTCCAGGCACATGCTCTGTCACTCCGACCTTTGGGAAACTTAGAGCGTTGTTCAAATGTGCTGTCGGGTTATTCAGACTACACTAAAAAGTGTGTGTGAGCGCTGGCGCGCTACAGACTGAGACACGCTAACACCCTGTTAGCCCACTAAATTGCTGTGTTTAGTTTGTACGCAAACTCAAAGATTTTTGTCTTGGCTAATTTCATGTGAGCCGATTGAGCTAACTTGCTGTGCTCCCCAGATGGTGGGAAAGATGGGCGGGTCACTTGCTCCTTTCAATTGGGCGTGTTTATGCTAGTTAATTGGGATGCAGCGTGTTTATTGGACAATCTTGACCACGCCCATTTTAGCCGCTTTGGCCTCAAACCTCTGCTGTTATTTTATTGTTCTTGTTTGTGTGTTGTTTGTTTTTAATTGTTTTATTAGCAAGGCCCAACCAATTAACCGGCCGATTTATAGACCTTTTCAAATCAGCTCAAACCACATTGAAACATTATACAAAGATTATGATATTGAAACAAATATTGAAATAAACCCTCCAAAAAATTCTCCCTTGGAAAGTTAAACAAAACCAAAAGGGGGAGGCTCAAATATTCTGCCTGAAATTCATATCTTTGTTTTGGCACGCATGAAGGGAATTCCACCCCCCCCCCCATTTTTTTATAATCATATATTTTTTGAATTAATCAGCCAATTAATCGGTTTTCTGAATTTTTGTCTCCCAGATATCAAAATCCATCGTTATACTTCCCCATTATGTTGTCTCCTTTAGCTTGTTAGAATGCTAACATATAATTTGTGTGTGTGTGTGTTTAGGGAATCAACTGTCTGCAGTGGGCCACCAAAGGTACGACTCGCGCACGTTGAGTGTAGGTGTTTAGTGTGCCCGTGAGCGCCCGCCATATCATATGCGTGTGCGTGTTTCAGGGTTTTGACGGAGGACTACAAGGTTCCCGACAGAATGGTGGGCTTCAGTAAGTGGACATGCTTTTCCTACTTCCTGTTTGTGCGTCTCAGCCGATGCGCATTGTCATGTTTTCACGCTCGTGTGTGTCTGTGTGTGTGTGGCAGTCATCGGCCGAGGCGGCGAGCAGATTACCAGGATCCAATTGGAGTCTGGATGCAAGATCCAGATCGCTGCCGGTGAGTCCCGACGCGGCCATGAAGCGTTTGCTGGCTTTTCTGATGATCATTTGCGCACATAGATGGCGGCGGTCTGCTGGAGCGTCCGTGTTCCCTGACCGGAACGCCCGAGTGCATCGAGTGAGTCTGAAATTTGCTCGACTTCCTGTGATGATTTCGCCTTCACGTTCTCACCATGTGACCTGCGTGCGTGCGTGCATAGGCAGGCTAAGCGTCTCCTGGTTCAGATCGTGGACCGCTGCAGGAACGGTCCCGGTTTCCACGGCGATGGGGAGGGCGGAGCCCTGGTGCAGGAGATGCTGATCCCGGCCAGCAAGGTGGGGCTGGTGATCGGCCGAGGAGGCGAAACCATCAAACAGCTGCAGGTGTGAGCGCCGAACGAGCCGGGGGTTCTTCTTCTTGCGGGCCGCCGCCATCACGCGTTGACGTGCGCTTGTGCGCGTGTGTCAGGAGCGTGCCGGCGTGAAGATGATGATGATCCAAGACGGTCCCATGCCCACCGGAGCTGATAAACCTCTCCGCATCTCCGGAGACCCTTACAAAGTTCAGGTGCCAAAACCCGGCGAAACAAATTCTTCCCGCCCAAGAAAGGTGTCCTTGGACGTTGTTTGATCTGGCGAGTTCTAATGTCGCGTTCCTGGCGCGTCGCAGGCGGCGAAGGAGTTGGTGCTGGAGGTGATCCGGGAGAAGGACGGCGATTTCCGGGCGGGACGCGGTGACTTCTCCGCCCGGCCGGGGGGCGCCAGCCTGGACGTACGTTCGGCTGAAACAAACACACCCCAGCCTTTGCGCTTTGCGGGCGGGCCACCTCACGGCGGCGTTGCTTTCGTCCCTCGCAGGTTCCTGTTCCGAGGTTTGCGGTGGGCATCGTCATCGGCCGCAATGGCGAAATGATCAAGAAGATCCAGAATGACGCCGGAGTCCGTATCCAGTTCAAAGCGGGTACGCCCCCCCCCGGTCGAGTTCCGCCGCAGGCCTCGGGGAACTTAAGTGCGGCTGTTTTCCTCCCGCAGACGACGGCATCAGTCCGGAGCGGGTCGCCATGGTGATGGGCCAGCCGGAACGCTGTCAGCACGCGCTGCACCTCATCAACGAACTCATCCAGACGGCGCAGGTAAGCCAAGCACATGCACACAACGCAGGTTTGTTAGTTTCTTGTTTTTTTTGGGGGGGGGGGGGGAACACCTTCCAACTGAAAATGGGATCAAATACATGAAGAGGTCACGAAATTCGGGCTGTGACCTCTTGATCGTGCACAGCTGGGTGAGTGAGGAAAAAGGTCAAATGGGCAAAGCAGCCCACTGAATAAAAAAAAAAAAAGAAAGAAAAAGGTTAGCTAAGCTGTGTACTCGTAGCGCAATGGCAACTGACTTTGCCGCCGCCATTCAGGAGCGCGACGGTTTCGGCTCAGTGCTGAGGGGCAACCGGGCGAGAGGTCGCGGGGATTGGACCGTGGGTTCCCCCGGACCCCTGCAGGAGGTCACCTACACCATACCCGCAGACAAGTGTGGCCTGGTCATCGGCAAAGGTAAGTGCCTCGCCACCATCACCCCCACCTCTCCCCGCCTCTGCCGTCCTTTCCCGCAACCGCGGCCAAACGGGAGGCTGAGCATCATCAAGCGTGTGCGCGCACGCAGGCGGCGAAACCATCAAGAGCATCAACCAGCAGTCGGGCGCCCACGTGGAGCTCCAGAGGAACCCGCCGCCCTCCACCGACCCCACCACGCGCGTCTTCACCATCCGGGGCTCGGCGCAGCAGATGGAGCACGCGCGGCAGCTCATCGACGACAAGATTGGGGTAAGGCAGGCACCGACGCCACAACCTCACCGCGATTTCTTCCCCACCGCCCCCTCACTTCAGGACTCTTACCATTCTGATTATTAGTGGTCAAGTGAGCCCATAACCGATAATTGGAATCAATATTCACATGTGGCAAAGTATTGGTGTCAATTGTGACGAAGATAATAATGGTGGTCTCTTTTTTTTTTTTTTGTCTTAAGGGTTCTGGTATTATGAGTAATGGAGGATTCGGTTTCAGCCCCTTCACTCAAGGCCCCACCCACCAGAAGTAGGTCACTATGGCAACGTGTGTGTGTGCGTGTTGTAGGTGTGAGGAAGTCATGTGACCACGGTGCGTGTGTCTTTTGCAGCTGTGGTGGTGCTCAAACCTTCTTGACGGGCGTGTGGGGGAACACCTACCAGACTAGCTGGCAGAATGCAGCGCAGCAGGACCCCGGTAACGCACAAGCAACACACACGTTACATCAGACACTTCTGGACACACCTATTTTACGAACACACAATCACGTTCCAACAGACACACAGTCATTACAACCACACACACACACACACACACACACACCCTCAGACCCACACTATTTTTCCTCATACACACACGACAGACCCTTGCACACGTACGTCCACCCGACAGGCACATGCACTTGCACACATTAGATAGACATATGCACGCCGTACACCCTGTGCCGTATCCGTAGCAACATCACAGGTCAAAGCGTCATTTGGACCCGCCTTCAAATCATGAGATTGACAGCCTGTGGGATACGCAGTGTTCTTAATCTGTGTGTGTGTGTGTGTGTGTGTGTGTGTGTGTGTGTGTGTGTGTGTGTGTGTGTGTGTGTGTGTGTGTGTGCAGGTCAGCAGAGTCAGCCCGCGAGCGTGATGAGCGACTACAGCAAAGCGTGGGAGGACTACTACAAGAAACAAAGTACTACTTCTTATTTCTTCTTTAGCTTCAGTCGCAGCTACTACAATAATTTTTTTTTCTCCATGATTTTTGCCAATTTAAAAGAAATGTTTGAACTTCATCGTCTTTTGGCTTATAATTTTTACCTTTTATTGTGATTTAAAAAAAAATTATTTTCCATCGATTGGGGTGGGGGTGGGGAGGGCAGTACTTGATGGCCATGCGTGACCTTGGCGGTGTGTCTTTGTGTGTATTTGCTCAGGTCAGTCGTCCCAGCAGAGTTCAGTGCCCGACTACACGGCAGCGCTGGCTGAGTATTACCGCCAGCAGCCCTACCTGTGGAACCCTGCCCAGATCCAGGTAACTCATAGGGGTGATGTCATCACATAGACCCCGCCTTCAGCACCACGCCCAACCATTTTAAATGGGTTACTCGATGAATCGTCTCAGCCCTTGATTCAAATAGGTTGTCCAACATGTAAAACCTCGTCGCGTTGTTCTTTTTTTGACACAGGCAACCACGTATTTCATGATGATGTCATTTCCTGTCTCTGTAGGATCACTAAGAAGCCCCTCCCTCCATCCCTCGGACACCACGCCTCCTCCCTCCTTCCTTTTTCTCGAGCAAATTAACGGAAACAGGAAGTGCTCTTCTTCTGGTTTTAACCTCCAAAGTGTCGGACTTCCTGTTTGGCTATTTTTTTTTTTTTTTTTTTAAATCCAATCCGAACGTGGACACGTTTGAACAAAGTTCATTTCACCTCCTATTGTCTTTTTCTTTGTCTTTTCACCACATGATGCCTAGCAGTCTTGAGGAAGATGACGATGATGATGATATTGTATTAAGCATGCGGCGGATTGTTTTTTCTTTTTCTTCTTTCAGTGTGGATGATTTCATGGCGTTGGACAGAAACGTGACGTTTGACGTTGACGGGCGTCTTTTTGTACGAAAATGTCAATCGTTCTATTTCTTCGGTCGCCACTTTGGATGTGCTAGCGCTAATTTGTAGTTTTTCTTTCGGTTCTTGAATTTGTCGCCAAACGAGCGCGTTAACTCGGAAGTTTTGGTTGGCGCCCGTTTTGTGTGCATGCGTGCGTATGTATCTTTTGGTGCGGTCTGTCACATTGATTGGAGGGCAAGTTTGCGACAAATCACAAATGTTACCGTTCATCAAATGAGCACTCCCGTCGGTACTTTAGCGCTGTCATGTTTGTTTGTTTGTCACCTAGCCTTAACGAAAGGAAGGCACTAGCGTGCTGCTAATGTAGATTTACGCTTGGTCAGACCACAGGGAGTTTGACCTTGACCCGTGTCTATTTTTGAATGGAACTGTCAATCATTTTATTTCCTCGGTGGCCATTTTGAACGTGCTAACGCTAGCGACTACGTGCTAATGTTTTTGTGTTTCTGGTTTGATGTTTTTAAATCTTGTTTTTTGACTTTTTACCGCGTAAGATGATCCTCTATTCGTTTTCTCTGTGGTCAGCATCGTAGTGCCGGTGGGTGGCGCCAAACTAGCACGTTAGCACTCAAACTTCCTGTTCGTAGCTAAAGTGCAAGCGATCTGTCACTTTTGCACGGTGTGTTTGCATCAAATCACAAATGTTGATAAAATAAATTCACTTTCACCGTTTAGCTTTATTCACCACCGTTTTTCGGTGCTCTCACTTAGCCTTAGCAATAGGAGGTTGCTAGCGTGCTGCTAGCATAGCACCGCGCGCGTGTTGGACCACAGATGTTGAGTGCGTGTGTGACCATGATGATGACGATGAGTTGGGTTCAGGGGTCTATTTAAATCCATTTATGAATATTTGGTTTGGTTATAAGCTAATATGCTAATGCTACACGTACGTGCTGTCACTTCCAAATTAATGTTTTGTTATTTGGTTTAGAATGATTAGGGAGTATTTCATCAATCATTTCAGCCCTGGAGTCAATGATATAGTTTGCTATATAAAAATCCCGTGGTAGTGGTGATGCGTTTGGACTCGGAATTCCCTCGTTCTCCTGAATCACTACAAAATTTTAGGATTATTTGTTTTGATAATGAGCTAAAATACTCATGGATATTATATACATACCATCGCTTCCAAAGGAATTTTTTTTTTGGGGGGGGGGGTCAGCCGGCAGCAGGGAGAGGCTCTTCTCAAGACTGCTATGCTAAATGCTAAAGCTAACATCGCTTGGCCTGGTGAGCTAGAAAGTGGCGCGTTAGCTCATTCGCCTGAGGGGGCGACGCCGAGGCCAAGAGACGGATGGATGGGGAAGCGCCCGCCCCCGATTCAGTTCCACGCCAGATTTGTTTTTTTTGTTTTTTTGTTTTCTGTGGTTTTTCTAATGGACCTTTGTCCAAATGTAACCTTTGGACTTTTCTAGTAGATTCTATGGACTGACGGGTGAGGAAGATGAACATGATGATGATGATGTAACCATGAGGGCTAATAAACAGGCTCCTTCTTTCTGACTTCCTGTGTCTTTATGAACACTTCCTGTGGCCGCCATCTTGTCCGAGACATGCGTGGCGGCCATGAATAATGGATAAGGGATTTATTCATTCATTCATCTTCCAGATGGCCTGATTGATGATGTCATCCCCTGTTATGCATGTGTGTGTGGGGTTCTAAAGTGTGTCAGTTGGTTAGTTTTTGTTTGCGTCGGGTTGTGTATTAGCTCTTGTTTTTTTTTGTTTTTTTTTGTTACTTAGAGTATGTATGTGATTGCGTTTGTGTGATTGTAACATGTCTGTCGTGTTTGTGCGTGTGTGTGGCCGCTCCAGAAGAGTCCTGATTTGAATTTGCGTGGTGAGTGTGTCTGGCCTTGCCGCGGCGGTGAAGTCAGCCTCTGCGGTTGAGTCTCCCGGCTCTCATGGGCAGCTTTTAATGCTGCGTGCCCGCGCGTGTGCGCGTTAAGTACAGTAAAGTGCTCTGTAAGTACAGTTGAACTCGGTGTGTGTGCGCGCAATTAATATTTCATAAATTGTAGCCATGTCCTCATTAAATGTCCGTCTGTCACCTCCACAGGAAGTCTTATGACCTGCGATGTCACCTGACAATAGTGCAAACGCGTCAATCATCAGATGATGACATGGGCTGATGATGTCATCACAGGACACATCGTCTCGTCCAATCGGTGCAGTGAGTGGCGCAAGCACGCGCCCTAACAAACTATTCATTTCCAATTTGCATACGCGTTCATTTACGTATACGCAATGCTTGCACTCAAACTGTCGTGAATGTAAAGCGGAGTGCAGAACATGCAACGCCCACACCAAGCATCTCAATGCTCGCTTGCCACCTCGGTAAAAAGAAGGAGGGCCGCTGACATCATTCTTCCTTTTCTTGATCGGCCGATGACCTCTTCGCGGATGTTGGTGAGTGCCGTGGGTGTCTTGTGCTGGATTTAGCTTCATTAATTAACCTCCCACAATGAACTCGTGTACAGTGCACCTCCTCTTCTTGTATTGTGTGTGTCAGTCACCTGCCCCCCCACCCCTTGCTCAAGCCCCCCCTCCCCTCCCTCCATTCCCCCACTTGCAGCAGGCTAAGTGCTCTGTTGTTGTCTTTGCTGAGACAAAGACGCAAGGACAACGCACACACAGGCTAGTGCTGCGCACGCTACGCCAACGGGTTCTGCTGGTCTCAGCTCATTAAAGGGTGTCTGACAACCCTTCGCCCCCACACCCCCCCAAGAAGAAGAAAGAAAAGAGAAGCCCCCACTTCATTCACTCAACAACACGAGCGAGCGCAAGCTTCTTCCACGATGAGGACGACAAACAATATTCCAAAAGTATTCCAGGATGAGTGCGCCGAGCCGAGCCGGCATGACGCCAGAACGCGAATTGTTTCAAAGCGACCTTTCACTGCTGTTTGGATCATTCCAACATAGTGCCACCGTGAACAGAATAACACACTCACAGCACCTTTGGAGACTTATTCCACCGCTGCTGTTTTTCCCAACATTCCTAAAACCGCATTAGGCCAAAAATTTTCCATCATTATTCCACAATTTCGCAACAGAAGTTCAATCAAGTCCGAAAATGGGACTCGTCTATTCCTAATTGGATTTCCCACCGCTGTCAATCACACGACTTCCACCTTCCTCCTCCGCCTCCTCATCTGCGGGCTTGTTTCCCATTGTCCCGTTGTCATTTCCAATATCCAATTCCAACATGAATCGACAATTACAATTCCAACATTCCAGAATGTTTCCAATAGCGTTCCAGCCTTATTGCGCACTCGCCAAAAGTATTGAAACATCGGCCCACCCAAAAGACACATTTACAAACGCACAAGCACACACACACACACACACACACACGATACGGAGCTACGTGTGCACACATTTTCAGACACACGCCCCCCCCCCCACACACACACCCACATTGGCTACACAGACGATGACACTTGCGGCGTGCGCACGCACTTTTAGAGACCCACACTGACTTTTTGAGACACACACACGCGCGCACCCATTGAAACACCGCCCATCCTTTCAGACGCGCGCGCACACACACACACACACACACACACACACACGAGCGCGCACACCCACCGATCCCTCCCCCTGCTTCCAGTCACTCATTCATGCACGCGCGCACGTGTATAAAAGGTGGCGCGTGTCGGGCTCGCTCTTCATTTGCTTTTTTCCCCCCCTCTTCAACTTGTTGACTCCCCCCAACTCGCCAAAACAACAACAAATCCTTTTCTGTGTGTGTGCGTGGGTTTGCCAAGCTGTAAAGGAGGACATTTTTTTACTTTTCGTTTGAATGTAATTGTCTTTCTTTTTATCTGTTTATTTATTTATTTTCGGCAGGGGTTTTCCCGCCATGGGCTCGGCGCTCCCCGCTTGTTCGCCGCCGTCGGGCCGAAAGTGGTGGTCTCCGAAGCCCCCCGCCGGCGCGCCGCTGTCGGAAGTGATCACGTCGGACGTGGTGCACAGCTTCCTATACGGACGATGGAGGCGCGTGCACGGCGAGCAGCAGCTGACGCACGAGGCCGCCGCTGCCTCGGGCGCGAGCCCCAGGACCGCTTTCACGGCCGAAGTGCTCGCGCAGTCCTTCTCCGGAGGTCGGTGGATCATCGTCGGCGTCGTCGTCGTGGTCGTCATCTGTCAGGCGTCATTTGCATTTCAAATAGCCGTCAAGTGTTTTTCATTTTAACATTTAGTTTTCTTACAGCGTCGGCTCATAATGAGATGAATTTTTTAAAAAATCCTTCGTTGATTGTGATGGATAAATTAAACAATTCATTGATTATCATTGAAAAAAAAGATGTACAAATGTAAATGTTTCAAAATGAGCATTTTGAAGAATTGAATTGAACGTTGTCATGGGGGGGGGGGGAGTAACAAATATTTTCACGAGTAGACGGAAAAAAATCGTGTGTTAAATTCACTTCGTTTTATTTCCTCAAATGATTGCACAAAATAAAAGCATCCAGATTCAGAAACTTTTTTTAAAGCAGACTAATGTACCTGGATCCTGATGCCTTTATTTTATGCAACCACATTTCGGAATAAAATGGAGTAAATTCAACAAAAACTGTTTTCATTTAACGATGTTTTTTTTCCAAACGCCCCCGTTCCTCTTGAAATGTTGAAATCAATATCATTTGAAATTCCAAATGAGCGGCTGATGATAGGAGAACTCATCTTGGATATCTTAGCAAGAGTGAAATGATTTATGATTTTTTAAATGATGATGAATATATTTCCAACCTTCTTTTTTTGAAAAAATTAACCACAAATCCTTATTTTGTTGACTTGTTCAATTAAATAATGTGGTCATGAATGCAAATTGGCTCATTTAGATTTCGTTGAAGAATCCGTCAAAAGGGTCGCGCTTATGAGTTCTTTTCAAAGACATTTTTTTTTCTTCAGGGCCAGAAACTCTTGCGGCCTTTTGAGGCCACGCGCACATTTATTTGATCTTGTATTTTTCAAAATGTGATTTCCGTGTGAAATTCGTTTGATGTTTTTTCTTCACCTCGTTCATTTCGATGTGGGCGACTTGAGACGCGACGACGCATCGTTTCTTTCTGCTGTTCCCCTCCCCCCCCCCCCCGCAACCCCCGCTGGCCGCGCAGCACGCCACTCGAAGGCCAATTTGTTTAACTGGAAATTCCACGCGCCTTTTCAATTATTCGTTCAAGGCGCAATTCAACATGTTTAACAATTCCAATTCAAATGTGTCTGTGTCTGTGTGTGCGTGCGTGCGTGTGTGTGCGCGCGTGTGTGTTTCCGCAGAGGTTCAGAAGTTGTCCAGTTTGGTTCTTCCCAGCGAGGTGATCATTGCACAAAGCTCTGTTCCAGGTAAAAGCCTTAATCAATATTCCCTTTATGACGTCACATATCAAATGATGATTGGAATCATGAAACAGCGTGTACGTGTGTGTCAAAAATAAATGCGCGTTGTCCGCTGATCCGCAAACGCACGCAGGTTCAACAATTTACACGCAAAATTGAAGATTTACAAATAACAAATCATGATTTCTAATCATGAGAAACGCGCGCACACACTACAATAAAAGGACGTGAAAATCATAAATATATTGGTGGATCTGAAAAACACATCGCGGAAGGAAGGATTCGGTGAATCATTTTGAGACAAATCTGTCCCCGGCGCTGCATCCCACGACAACTTCACCAATAACGTCCCCCCCCCCCCCCGCCCCCCAAAGAAAAGAGGATTCAAAGTGACACTTCCAATTGTCGGGGAGGAGAAAAAAAAAACATTAAATAGAAGGTCGTTTTTGTACGCTTATTTCCGCGAACATTTGCACAAGTAATCAAAGGCAACAGAAAGCAAAAGTTTCGCTGAGGTTCATCGTCGAGCTGCGATTCTTCCAGGCAACGCTGCAAAAGCAACATCGGGATTGCCAAATGGGAAAAACTGAACTCTCGTTAAGTCCAAATATTAGCTACGAGCAAAAACCTCAGAAAAGCCCAACAGGAAGTCATTTTTATAGGGAAAGAAGAAGAGGGGAAAAAAAGGCGAAGAAGATTAAAAGAAAAAAAGTTTTCATATATGCAACAAAAAGGCATCCGGTAAACACCTTGACAATTCACCGCTATTAAAAAAAAATCGTATATGAAAGTTGGAAATAAAATTTTACCCGAACGAAAGTTTCAAATCCAAAACGTCTTCCAGGTGGAATATACTGGGGGAAAATGTAAAAAAAAAAAAAAAAAAACAACAACCCAAGTGTTGATCTTACAACGATGAAATGAGGCTCGGGCCGGACCACAAAGGAAGGACCTCAAAAACAAAAGCAAAAGAATACGATGATTCGATTGACCTGGAAAAAAACAACCTTGAAGTAATCAAGGATGTGCTGCCAACTAGCCCTTCCCTCTCCAAAATCTAACTTTTAAAAATTGAATTGAATTAAAAACTGCATAAAAGAATTGTCTTGAAAATGTCATTTTCGACATTTAATTCGTTTTCATTTTGAAGGTTTTGAGTAGGCGAGGATTTTACCAAAAAAAAAGTTGAAGTCGATCAGCTGCACATGACAACTTCTTGCATTTCGCATTTATTTGGAGTCTCCTCCAGATTTTGTGTGCGTGTGCGCGCCCGTGTGTATGTATGTGTGTGTGTGTGTGTGTGTGTTGCTTGGGGTGGGGGGGTCGAGGAAGGACTATTGTTTTTGTTCTTGATTGTAAAGTGTCCTTGAGTGTTTTGAAAGGCGCTTATAAATAAAATGTATTATTATGATTATTATTACAAAGAAAACGTGTTTGTGTGTGTGTGTGTGTGTGTGTGTGTGTGTGTGTGTGTGTGTGTGTGTGTGTGTGTGGGGGGGGGTGGCGTGCGTGCGTGCGTGCGTGCGTGCGTGTGTGTGTGTACACAGGAGAAGGTCTGGGAATCTTCTCCAAGACTTGGATCAAGGCGGGAACCGAGATGGGTCCGTTTACGGGGCGCCTGGTTTCTCCGCAACACGTCGACTTCTACAAGAACAACAACCTCATGTGGGAGGTATACACACACACGCACACACACACACACACACACACACACACACACACACACACAAAACCAAACTATATGTACGTTTTGTAAATGGGAAGCCTCCCGTTCATTTTGGCTGTAATTCTATAATCGGCCACTAGAGAGCAGCACACAATTTTGTTTGACCCTCGTTTGCCAAGAGCTAAATTGAGTGCTGCCGAATTTCACGGTTTTGAAGGCGAAAACGTCCTCAAATGTTCTGGTGACGTTTCAAGGAGAGGAAATCTGGCATCTTTGAACTAACGTGAAACAATACCCTGTCAAACTGCTTGCTGGTTGATGCTCAACTTGGCCAAGTAACACTAGGCTACTCTCTTATTTTTCATAGGGTGCATCGAAATTTAAATTATGGGGTAGAGAAGATACATGAGTGGTTTAAAGATGTCCAACATAAATTACAGTCTGATGTATTTATTATGATTGACAAATTTGCTAATGAAAAATGTTGTGTCTGTATAATTTGTCGTTGGTGGTGTTGCCAAGAAAAAAGTCGAGCTCCGCCCAGTTTACGGGAGAAGTTTTAGGGTTTAATTTAATCAACTAACCTTTGGATAATGGTTTCCAAAATAATTATGGTGTCAAGGCTAAGGTGCTTATTTCCCAGCTCATATGAAAAGTGTGACAGGGTGGGGACAGGAGCGTGCGTATGTTTAGCGTGATTGGCGTTGGAAATTGTTGTCACGGCAAACATGAGGAGTGGGCTTGATTAATGCGCTCGTACGTAGCCGCCCGCTCTGTGGGGCTGCACGTGCATGCAGTGCAAGTCGCAGTGCAAGTCAAGCGCTTGTAAGCAAGCAGCACTAATACGCTTTGCCAGAGTCAGGAAGAAGACCCCGAATGGGATGACGTTTGGACCGGATCACTTTTATTTATTTATTTTCTTTTTAGGTGTTCAATGGTGACGGCGGCGTACGTTTCTTCGTGGACGCCAGTCAGGAGGAGCAACGCAGCTGGATGACGTACATCAAATGCGCTCGCAACGAACACGAGCAGAACCTGGAAGTGGTGCAGCTGGGAACGGCCATTTTCTACAAGGCGCTTCAGGTAACCCCACTGGCCGCCCGGGTGCAGTCCTGGCAGCCACATTAACGAGCCGTATAAATGAATGCATAATTGACCTAAAAATGATTTCACACTTGAAAAATAATAATCCATTTGAAAGGAAAAGTGTTTGGAATTTGGGGATTTTTCAATCTTGCTACATTTTAACGTCAGCTAACCGTAGCATAACATTGCGTTACGTACGCAGAGTTGCATTACATATGCGTAACGTGGGGTTATGTTACATATTGTCGGCGTAACCCATGTTGCCATGCGCTTGCTCCCAGACCATCCCCCCTGATCAGGAGCTGCTCGTCTGGTACGGAAATTCCCACAACACCTTCCTGGGAATTCCTGGAATTCCAGGAGGCGATGACGAGCAAGCAAAGAAAAGCAAGAGCGGTAAGCTATCATGAACGTCGCATTAGCATCGCAAGGAGTAGCGGCTGCGACAAAAATGTTATCATTTATGTTTGAGGAGCCTTCATTAACGGAAAAGCAAATAAGTCGCTGGTTAGCCTAGCAGCTGGTTCGCCTAGCAGCTGCTAGCGTAATTTAGCTTGCCAGCATTATTAAAGGCTTCTAGCAGCCAGCGCTGCGCACTAACAAATTGCCGCAGGTATTTCGTTAATGAATCCTCACAAAATGCTAACGTACTGCTCACCTGAACAAATTAGGGTGAATATTTTACTCGCATTATGTTAGCATTAGCAGAGTATAATTAACATCCTATCATTACTTACAGTAAATTATACATATATTTTAATTAGTAAGCTTCTTGTGTGACTTGCGTGTGCTAAAATTTTGGTTAGTGTAGTTTGCTATCGTTCGTAGAAAAGGGAAGAAAAGGGACAATCGCAGCAGAGCACACTAGCGACTCATCACTGATATCACTTGGGTGATTTATTAGCATTAGCATAGTCCTGTCGTATTATGTTAGCATTAGCTTGTTAGAATTAGCATCTTTTTTTGCATTGACATGTTAGGTTTAGGTGTTTTGTTTGTAACAGCATTAGCTTTCCTGAACAAAAATTATACAGTGTATTGTTGTTACTAAGACGCGATGTAGCCCAGCCGGCTAACATAGCTGCTCAATGCATTTCAATTGTGTGTAATGTCACATGCACGCATTTTGTTTTCTAATTGTCATATTTCAGATGATTTCCATGGCTGCGAAGGCTCAATGTCATCCTCGTCTTCGTCATCCTCGTCAGGCTCCGGGGGTCTGGGCCGCATGCGCTGCGTCATCTGCCACCGCGGCTTCAACTCTCGTAGCAACCTGCGCTCGCACATGCGCATCCACACGCTGGACAAACCCTTCGTGTGTCGCTTCTGCAACCGCCGCTTCAGCCAGTCGTCCACGCTGCGCAACCACGTGCGTCTGCACACGGGCGAGCGGCCCTACAAGTGCCACGTGTGCCAGTCGGCGTACTCGCAGCTGGCGGGTCTGCGCGCCCACCAGAAGAGCGCCAGGCACCGCCCGGCCGCCGGAGCCGGAATCGGAGCTGCAGTCGGCGCCGGGGCCGCCAGTCCGGGAAGGGCGCTGCTGCTTGTGCGCGACCAGCACTCGCCTCCGCCACATCCTGCTTCCCTGGTCCACCACATTCCCGCCATGGTGCTCTAAACTGGAAGTTAGCCGGTAATGCAAGTAAAAGTGTTGTAAAAGTATACGCAGGAAGTAAGCTTTTGCAGCGTGTTTTAGCGTAGCAGCAGCTGTGGTGAATCTTCCGTGCGTCAGCCTAGCATGCTAATTGTTTGTTTTGTTGTTTCCGCTGTGGTGCTTGAGACAGGATGTTGGCTTGTTTTCTCCGCTAGAGTGGTACCACCCTTAGCGTTTGTGCGGCACCCTTGAAAAAGGAAGCGCTGGAAGTTAGCATGATGCTACCTTTCGCAACCGCAAGAATCCAAATGAAATCAAACCGTAACCTCAAGGATTGGCATCGAAACTATCGAATCCAATTCAAATTCAGCCACATCTGAAATAATTACAATTAAATCAATTAGAATCGCAACCTAAAGAATCAATTCGAATAACAACCTTCTGAATCTAAATCTAGGGGAGGGATGATCTGGATTTGAAAAAAAAAAAAACAGTCGGGCAGAGGCTACCTTTTGCAGCTAACACTGGGAGTTAGCATAGCAGCATATGACTACTTTGTCTTGCATGCTGCGTGTACGTTAGCCTAGCATGCTAATCTTTTCACTTTGCTGCATGCTCTTAACAGGAAATATAAGGTCAAATCTCTTTTTGAATTTTATGTCCCAGCGTTATTATCAATGTGTCATGTATGGTAACATGCTATATACATATATTAATAAAGTGAGTTCATCTACAGTTTGAGCTTAACACGCCAAAGTCAGCAAGCCCACTAACTTCATATATATATATATATATA